GGCATTCGGATTTCTGTCAGTCGCATACAGCAAGTCTGTCCGTCGACTGCGTCCCAAGCACAGAATTCTGCCCTCCGAACTGTAATTATATATATACATATATATATATATATATATATATATATATATATATATATATATATATATATATATATATATATATATATATATATATATATATACATACGTATAAATATACATACATACATACATACATACATACATACATACATACATACATACATACATACATACATACATACATACATACATACATACATACATACATACATACATACATACATACATACATACATACATACATACATACATACATACATACATACATACATACATACATACATACATACATACATACATACATACATACATACATACATACATACATACATACATACATACATACATACATACATACATATACATACATACATACATACATACATACATACATACATACATACATACATACATACATACATACATACATACATACATACATACATACATACATACATACATACATACATACATACATACATACATACATACATACATACATACATACATACATACATACATACATACATACATACATACATACATACATACATACATACATACATACATACATACATACATACATACATACATACATACATACATACATACATACATACATACATACATACATACATACATACATACATACATACATACATACATACATACATACATACATACATACATACATACATACATACATACATACATACATACATACATACATACATACATACATACATACATACATACATACATACATACATACATACATACATACATACATACATACATACATACATACATACATACATACATACATACATACATACATACATACACACATACATACATACATACATACACAGATTACATACATACATACATACATACATATACATATATTTCGTTTAGTATTATTCACATCACGTTGCAGAACCAATTCTAGCATTTTTTTTTTGGCTGTTGCGGTTTTTCTAGGCACTTTTTACGTCTTGGCGAATGTAGTCACAACAAACTCCGCAGGTTAAGATTATTTTTATGTTGTCTTCTTACAGAGGATGCAAACTCAGGGCTTCCACAAGAGTCCTAGCGTTCTAAGTGTCTGGGACTAGCTCTTTTTCTTCGGGTGTTAGTGGGTGGTGGGGGTGAGGGTTCAAGGAGCCGACGGCAGTTTTTTTGTGATCATGGCTGAGTTCGTGTTTTTTCTATGTTGGATTAGTACATTACCTTCTAGATGGTAGGCTTCCTAAAACAGAAAATAACCTCATGTGGAATGCGCTGTCTCCGCAAGGTCACTAACAACACTAGACGAGACAGGGTTACAAACACCAGCATTAGACAGAAATCTGAAATAAGACCATACCTGGATTACATTGACAAACAAAGAATAAAATGGTTCAGACATCAAGTGAGAATGCAGCCAGACTAGACTGCATATATATATATATATAAGATTTTTTACAGTAGAGCTTCTGAGAGAAGGCGAGAGGAAGACCAAGAAAGATATGGATAAATCAATGTAGCTGGAACGTGCAAAAAGATAAACATATCCATCACTCAAGCCTTTTGACAAGCGCACGGCAAATACAGAAAACCACGACACTGAGCTACAACCTGGTAACTGTGAGACGACAAAAGGAGGAGAGGGCTTGTTCATTACATTTTGCTCCTGCATACACTTGCCAATGTCGGGCAAGTACAAATTGCTAGGCATTGGCCGGTACAAGATTACGTTACTTCGATGTCCAAATATTGTAAAGGAGATTAGTTACATGTTGATACGTGATATTCTAAGATGGCTTCTGTAGTATTTAAGTTCAAAAGACAGAAATAATAAAAGACGTAACCATTTTATAAAAACCACGCTGTAGGGAAATGTCAAAGATAGGCTTACAAGGTGCAGACAAGAAAAAAGCGTGGGAAGTTAACATCAAGGGATGATGAACCTATATCGAAATCATACATACTCTCTAGTAGAGTAGCACCAAGATTTTCCTCACTTCATTCTGATTCATTATAGTTCTTTGCTGTAATCACCCACCCTTCAAAGGTTCTCTCTCGTAGCACTAACATGTTTATCTCCTCATTCTGATCCCTTAAGGTTCATTTGCTGTGGATATCACTCCCCTTTCAAAGGTTCTCTCTCGTAGCACCAAGATTTTCTTCTCCTCATTCTAATCCCTTGAGGGTCATTGCTGTGGATTTCACTCCCCTTTTAAAGGTTCTCTGTCGAAGCACCAAGATGTGTATCTCCTCATTCTGATCTATCAGGTTCACTGCTGTAGACATCACCCACCTTAACTCATCACTCTGATTAGCCTTTTCTTTTCAGTTGGTGTTTATAGGCTACCGGAATATATCTCTCCGACGGAGGTCTACGTGGTGAAGTGGTCAAATCGTTTGTCCAGCGCTCTGAAGGTCGTGGGTTTGTTTCCAGGCTGCGCCGTTCTGTAAAAAAGATCATTTTTTCAAAGGGAAATTTCCGATGATTGTCACAGGAGCTACGGAGTTCGTACTCTGTGCGACGCTGTCAGCATGTGGCTGGCCGTTCTGCAGGGAAAGACCAAGCCATTTGTTATAAAATACGGTGTTATCAAGTCAATCTTCTCGACTTTAACCTTTATCTCTCCGCCGTCTTTGTGTTCTGCCTCCAGGTTTATTCCCATTCAGCATTTTTCTGAATGCAGTTTTGGTTTCTCTGTTAATTGAAATTCTTGATTTAAGCCAGAACTATCGCAGTCTATTAGCTATCATCATGCTACTAGTTAGTGGTGATTTTACCTGTTTATGAACACCGATAAGATCACATATGTTACATGGGTCAACATCAAAGTAAAAGGGACAAACCTCAAGCAAGTTGAAATGTTAAAGTACCTGCGTACCCTGATTACATCAAATGGAAGATGTAATAAGGTAATTAAATATCGAATAGCTCAAGCAAAGACAGCATTCTACAACATGAAGAATATTTTATGAAATATTTCTTTGTCAATTGAGACGAGAAAGAGAACTCCTAAAAGCTATATGAATCTATATTGATATATGGAAGTAAATTATGGACAGTTGGTAGATTAGTGAAAACTTATTTGGAAGCTGTGGAGATGTGGTTTTATAGACAATGAGAATACCCCGGGCAGATAAAAAGTGCAACGAAGACGTCTTAAAAGAAACTGACACTCCAAGAGAACTGATTGCCCACATCAGAAAGAGACAATCTACATTCTTTGGTCATGTGTCCAGAAAGAGAAAAACTGGAGTACCTCGTGACAGTAAGAAAGTTGGAGGGGGGGGGGGAGGCAGAGGGAGACCGATAGAACAGATCCTAGACAGTTTGACATCATAGCATGAAGGATCATCTGTGTCAGAGTTTACTGAAAGTACACGAGACAGAAGGTAGTGGATAGAATGACTACCAGTGTCACACGGCATGGATTCTAAGAAAAAGTTACATAGGTCTGAAATTTGAATTGTGGAATTTGGAAACAAAACAATTAAGACTTTGAAGAATAATAGCCATTCGATGAATCTTCAGACTAGAATACAAAATGTGAAGCCATAACCATATTCCGTGTCTGTTTAAATCATCACGAATTATTGGCATCTTCAGAATTAAAACAATACACGGTTTTCGCATATAGAGAGAGTGACAGATGAGAGAGAGACAACAACTACATACACATAAAACCTACTGGGCGTAGAACACGAGGCAGACCAAGATGACGACACGAAGAGATAACATTCAGGCACACTTACAGGCATTTGGGGTCGCTGACTGGAAAGAGAGTCCCGGAATGTAAAGGCGACAGGCGTGATGCTGATCACATAACCACCCCCCCCCCCCACCCCACTGTCGATTGGTCTATAAAATATAAGTCTAGCCCTATATGCCCAATTGCGAAGAGTGGAATAGGGGAAGAGATTACTTCACTTTATATAACTGGAAAGAGAGTAACGGATGGCAGAGATGAATCATATTTGTATCAACGGACACCAAGGGCTCCGAAGGCAGGCGAAGTTTCCATATAGAAAAAAAAAGTAGTAAGGTTATAATAAAAATCTAACTTGCACAGCGTGGGTGGTGACAGCATTAGCCATGTCGCCCGTAGTCCCCATGATTACTAGTTCGCATCTCCTCCTTCTTTGCCTACTACCCAGCAGTAGTAAGTTTAGGCAGACATTGTGGGAAAAGGGGGGGGGGGGGGGGGGGGGTTTAGGGAGCGTGTTTTTTTTTTTTTTTGGTTTAAAACTGCAGCATTGATGCAGTTCTCAAGCTTTTTACTAAGTTTAATTTTTTGTCCACGGTTTATTCTCTTTTTTGTTTTTGTTAAATTTTTTTAACAATAAAAGTACGTGCACTATTTATCATTGACACCATCATGTTGTCACGTTCATGCATGTGTCACAGGGCTCGCAATCGATTTATCCATTCTGCTCTAGTATTGTTGATTATCACATTATGTCTTTAACAGTCTTTGTAATTGTTACAATGAATTTATTTATTGTATTCGAATAATTGTTACAATGAATTTATTTATTGTATTCGAACCATTAGGAGTCGCCGTGGCGTAGCGGCTGGACGCTCGCGTGCGGATTGGAAGGTCGTGGGTTCGCTAACTGGCGGAGCCGGACTTTTTTCAAAAAATGACCATTGACTCACAGGTCGACCCAGCCCCGCGTGGGTACCGGGTGTAATCCCGGAAAGTAAAGGCGGCTGGCGTTATGCTGACCACATCACCTATCTTGTGCCGATTGGTCTATAAAAATATAGTTCTAGCCCTATATGCCCTATACATCCCAAAGAAGTGGAATAGGGACCACATTTTTTTTTTTTTACTTTAGTTATTCGAACCATTTCGAATGTTTGTTATTTAAAGTCGATTCTATGTAGCTATTTTCCTTCATTCATTTATTCATGTATTCATTTATTGCCCTGTTGTACTATTATTTGTTACATAGAGCTCGAATTATATTTCTCCACTTCCTTCTATAATGTGTAATCCTTTCGATGGCATGAGCAGAAATTTAGCATCTGAGCTGTCATCAGCCTGTTTCTTGGTTTCTTGAGGACGTCCTCGCTTTCTCTGTGCTTGTATTTCCCATTTTAGTGCCTGTTTGCTGATTCTCTTGGTGTGGATTCTGCAGGTGTCCAATGTAGCGCCATCTACTCTTATGACGGCGTCTGTGGCTTAGGCGTTGCGAACGCGCTTCGTAATGCCTAGGTGTCGGGTTCTATCCTAGCTGCGGGCCTTGCTTTAGTTTCGACAGTGGTACCAAAAAGCCGACAGCCCAGAAGCAATGACAAACTACCGGACGTAAATTTGCCTTGAAAAACCACAACAACCAGAATATGCTGGAGTTGGTTCTGCAATGTACTGTAAAGGATACGCAACTAACTAACTAACTCTGTCTTCTAACTGTTGATACTAGTGGTTGCCCAGATTTCTCTCTTACTTCTTCACCCCTCTTGAATTCACCCATTTTTATGTTCACCAGATTAAAAATATTTAAACACACACACACACACACACACACACACAGACACACACACACAATCCTCATTTTATTAGGGCATAATGTTAAGAATGTATGATGGCTCATTATGTTAAGAATGTATGATGGCTTGTTATGTTAAGAATGTATGATGGCTCATTATGTTGAGAATGTATGATGGCTCATTATGTTTAGAATGTATGATGGCTCATTATGTTAAGAATGTATGATGGCTCGTTATGTTAAGAATGTATGATGGCTCATTATGTTAGGAATGTATGACGGCTCATTATGTTAGGAATGTATGATGGCTCAATATGTTTAGAATGTATGATGGCTCATTATGTTAAGAATGTATGATGGCTCGTTATGTTAGGAATGTATGATGGCTCGTTATGTTAATTTAGGAATGTATGATGGCTCATTATGTTGACAATGTATGATGGCTCATTATGTTGAGAATGTATGATGGCTCATTATGTTTAGAATGTATGATGGCTCATTATGTTGAGAATGTATGATGGCTCATTATGTTTAGAATGTATGATGGCTCATTATGTTTAGAATGTATGATGGCTCATTATGTTTAAAATATATGATGTCTCGTTATGTTAAGAATATATAATGGCTCATTATGTCAGGAATGTATGACTGCTCATTATGTCAAGAATGTATGACAGCTCATTATGTTAGGAATGTATGACGGCTCAATATGTTAGGAATGTATTATGGCTCATTATGTTTAGAATGTATGATGGCTCATTATGTTTAGAATATATGATGGCTCGTTATGTTAAGAATGAATGATGGCTCGTTATGTTGAGAATGTATGAAGGCTCATTATGTTTAGAATGTATGACAGCTCATTATGTTAACAATGTATGATGGCTCATTATGTCAGGAATGTATGATGGCTCATTATGTTTAGAATATATGATGGCTCATTATGTTTAGAATGTATGATGGCTCGTTATGTTAAGAATGTATGATGGCTCATTATGTCAGGAATGTATGATGGCTCATTATGTTGAGAATGTATGATGGCTCATTATGTTGAGAATGTATGATGGCTCATTATGTTAAGAATGTATGATGGCTCGTTATGTTAAGAATGTATAATGGCTCGTTATGTTGAGAATGTATGAAGGCTCATTATGTTTAGAATGTATGACAGCTCATTATGTTAAGAATGTATGACAGCTCATTATGTTAAGAATGTATGATGGCTCATTATGTTAAGAATGTATGATGGCTCGTTATGTTAAGAATGTATGATGGCTCATTATGTTAGGAATGTATGATGGCTCATTATGTTGAGAATGTATGATGGCTCATTATGTTGAGAATGTATGATGGCTCATTATGTTGAGAATGTATGATGGCTCATTATGTTAAGAATGTATGATGGCTCGTTATGTTAAGAATGTATAATGGCTCGTTATGTTGAGAATGTATGAAGGCTCATTATGTTTAGAATGTATGACAGCTCATTATGTTAAGAATGTATGATTGCTCATTATGTCAGGAATGTATGATGGCTCATTATGTTTAAAATATATGATGGCTCATTATGTTTAGAATGTATGATGGCTCGTTATGTTAAGAATGTATGATGACTCATTATGTCAGGAATGTATGACGGCTCATTATGTTAGGAATGTATGATGTCTCATTATGTTGAGAATGTATGATGGCTCATTATGTTGAGAATGTATGGTGGCTCATTATGTTGAGAATGTATGATGGCTCATTATGTTGAGAATGTATGATGGCTCATTATGTTAAGAATGTATGATGGCTCATTATGTTAAGAATGTATGATGGCTCATTATGTTGAGGATGTATGATGACTCATTATGTTGAGAACGTATGATAGCTCATTATGTTGGGAATGTATGATAGCTCATTATGTTGAGAATGTATGATAGCTCAACATGTTGAGAATGTATGATAGCTCATTATGTTGAGAATGTATGATAGCTCAATATGTTAAGAATGCATGATGGCTGTTGCTTACATTTTGCTGTTTTTTGTATCACAAGTCTGTCATAGCCATCGTCATCCTCTTTCCCGCCTACAAATACTTGGCAGATGGCTGTAAGGTAAAAAAAAAAAATACAGTGATGCAGTTTCAATAGCATATATACTTACTGGCTCAACGGCTAACACATATTTACTTACTGGCTCAACGGCTAACACATATTTACTTACTGGGTCAGTGGCAAACATATTTACCTAATGGTTCAATGGCTAACATATTTACCTAATAGTTCAGTGGTGAACATTTTTACTTACTGGTTCATTGGCAAACATATTTACTTAATGGTTCAGTGGCAAACATATTTACTTAATGGTTCAGTGGCGAACATATGTACTTATTGGTTCAGTGGCAAACATATTTACTTAATGGTTCAATGGCTAACTTATTTACTAACTGGTTCAGTGGCAAACATATTTACTTAATGGTTCAATGGCTAACATATTTACTAACTGGTTCAGTGGCTAGCATTTTTTTTTATTTTTTTTTTATTTCTTGATAAGTGTCTAGCATTATTGCTTACCGGTTCCGTGTCTAGCATTATTATTACCAGTTCCTTGGCTCGCATTATTGCTTACCAGTTCCGTGTCTAGCATAATTGTTTACCAGTTCTTTGGCTCGCATAATTGCTTACCAGTTCCTTGCCTCGCATAATTGCTTACCAGTTTCTTGGCTAGCATAATTACTAACCAGTACCTTGGCACGCATAATTGCTTACCAGTTTTTTGGCTAGTATAATTGCTTACCAGTTCCGTGGTTAACATAATTGCTTACCAGTTCCATAGCTAACACAAATGCTTACCAGTTCCGTGGCTCGCATAATTGCTTACCAGTTCAGTGGCTAGCACAATTGCTTACCAATTCATTGGCTAGCACAATTGCTTACCAGTTCCGTGGCTCGCACAATTGCTTACCAGTTCCGTTGCTCTCATAATTGCTTACCAGTTCCGTGGGTTGCATAATTACTAACCAGTTCCTTGGCACACATAATTGCTTACCAGTTCCTTGGCTCGAATAATTGCTTACCAATTCCGTGGTTAACATAATTGCTTACCAGTTCCATGGCTAACACAATTGCTTACCAGTTCCGTGGCTCGCACAATTGCTTACCAGTTCCGTGGCTCGCATAATTGCTTAACAGTTCCGTGGCTAGCAAAATTGCTTATCAGGTCCGTGGCTAGCCTGCTTGCTTGCTAGTTTACTGGCTACCATTTCTGGATGCTTTCTTAATATCCCACCCAAAACAGGGAAAATTCACAAGTCACGGACAGTCTAATATTTCAAGGGATGGTAGATAGGCTGCATGCAGCCGTGGGACCTAGGATGCACTATCATATAGAACGTAGGTGGACTGGGGTTAGGGTAAGTTCTAGATGTTTTAGGGTCGTTAAAAGCATCAGAACGGGAATCCCAGTCTTACAACCCTCTAAAATGTTGGACTGTCCAGTGACGTCATCTGGGGCAGGATATTGCGAAAGAACCCTATTTCTAATTATTGGTTCAGTGGATAGAGTGCCTGCTTTATTGTCAGTACAGTGCCAAGCATTTTTACTTAGTGATTCAGTGGCTAGCGTGCCTGCTTTCCAGTTCCCAAAATGCTTCAGATAACTTTTAGCCATTATTTGAATTTAATTTAAGGCATAGCAAACGTCTTAACATTTTAGATATCCCTAGCCTATGGCAGACCTATACAAATCTAGTTTAGCCTGCTCTATAGCCCAACTATGGAACCATCTTTGGTAACACATAAAATATACAAGTAAACTCTATATAAACAATCATAAACTAATTGAATATTATGTAAGTACAGCTTAAATATGAACACATCAACGGAATTGCTACGTAGATTATTTAGTAAAGTCTGGGAGACCGAAGAAATGCCAATAGACTGGAGAGAAGGATATCTGGTGAAACTGCCCATAAAAGGTGATCTACAGGAGTGTGAAAACTATAGAGGAATTATGATACTGTCAGTTCCTTAAAAAAATAGTCGGTATGATTATTTTAGTAAGACTAAAAGATGCTGTTGATCAAAAGCTAAGAGATAAACAGGTAGGTTTTCGGCCAAACAGATCCTGTACTGACCAGATAGCTACATTACGTATAATAATCGAGTCAAGCATTGAACTGACCTCACCACATTACATTGTATTTATAAACTATGAAAAAGCATTTGACAGCATTGATAGGGAATCTCTCTGGAAATTAATGGGGCAATATGGAATCCTAACCACATAAAATTATTAACTTAGTAAAGGTAACGTTTAAAGACATGAAATGTCGAGTTCTTCATGAGGGAAAGCTAACATTTGAAATAAAAACAGGTGTGCGACAGGGATGTCTTTTGTCGCCTCTCACATTTTTACTGGCAATAGACTGGATTATGAAGACAGAAACTGCTAACACCAAGAATGGACTTCAGTGGATCCCTAAAAAAACAGTGTGATGATCTGGACTTCGCTGATGATATTGCTCTTCTGTCCCGTTCACGGAATCAAATGAAAGATACATTAAATATACTTGATGCGAGATCACAACAGCTTGGTCTAAAAATCTATATGGGAACGACAAAGATAATTAGAATAAATCAGGCACATAGAAATATGGTTTCTCCTAATAATGGTATCCCACTCCAAGACGTAAAGTCGTACACGAGCTTGTGCAGTAATGTAGATAAAGGCGGGGAAACTGACAAAGATTTTAAAATACGAATACAAAAGGCTTTCATAGTACTAGAGAGTTTGTGGAGGTCAAAAGAAAATGAAAAGAAATACTAAACTTAAAATGTTTAATTCTACTGTCCAAATCAATACTGTTGTATGGAGCGGAAAGATGGAGAACAACTAAGACAATTACTAATAAACTACAAACATTCATTCACTGGTGCCTGCGCAGAATAGAGAGAATTATATGATATGCTAGAATCAGTATTGTAGAGCTTTGACTGAGAACTAAGTTCCAGTGGACCAAGAGGTGAAGACAAGACGCCGGTGTTGGATAGGACACACGTTGAGAAAACCTGAAAACAGCTAACTAGAATGTGTTTGCACTGGAACCCACAGGGATAAAAAAAAAAAAAAAGGAAGCACCCCCACCCAAGGCAGCTAGAGAGTGAAGTTAAAAAGATGTGGAGGACATGGGGATAGCATGCGATAGCAAAGGATAGAACGACTTGGTGTGAGTTGGTTGAGGGTCTATGCTCTATTAGGGAGTTAGAAAGGCAGGTAAAGAAGAAGAATCGATACATAAATATCAGTAGTGTCGTGTTCCTAATCTTTATTCCCAATAACAAAATAATACTTGACCTCTAAGGAATAATTAAATATATGATGTACATGCTGCATAACTCGATGCTGGACTACGTTCGTGCTTTTCACAACGTTCTTGGCAGGAGCTCGCTATTCTGCCAAGAGAAACCTAGCCTATTTGGTTACAGTTAGGGACAATACGGTCATTTATATGACTTAAACTTTCAGCTGAAACTCTAAACTGGTTGCCAAAGGTGGGGATTAGGCGCTTCTGTGAATATCCCCATTACTGTGAGGTTGTTAGGTAAATCAAACAGTTTTAAAATTCTAGTCTACAAGTTTCTGTAAAGATTGGTGATGAAGAAGTATACAGACTGGTCAGATGTGGTCAGACCCCTTTGAGAACAAGTAACGAAGTCAGAAGAGAAATTAGATTATTATGGATCGAGGAGAATGATGCACCCGGGTGTGACCAGACGGTTCGGCCTCTACTACGCTCAGAGGAAAGACAAGACAGACAGACAACCAGACAACGACCGGCACCATAAGTATTGGAACTCTGCCCTCGCTGCTGAGGATGGTGGACGGAGCGCGTATGGGAATGCTTTGAGTGCTGTGATGTCAATTCTTAACTCAACTCAAGTGTAAAGGTAATTTATTTTATTATGTTCAGTCCTTATGTTTTCTTATCCTTATTTCATTTTCGTCCTAGCAAAAGAATTAACTATGGAGCAATCCCAAGATTGTAATCCGCCTCTGCCGGATGAGAATCGACTTTCCAAACGCTCAGACAACAGCACGATAGAAGCCACTTTTAAAAGCCTTAGAGACTCACTACATCTGATTACCAACAAGGAGATGGCACTCGAGTATATTGATTAAGTAGGGAGAACACTGTGAATTTTGTAAACTGAAATAATAAGCAATTCAAATAAGTGTATTATCGTCAAACCTTAACAACAAGAAACAATGGAGTTCTAAGTTATATAGCTTTAAGATCAAACTAAGAATCTTCATTTCTAACGTTGTTTCAATTCTAACATATGTCAGCGAAAGTTGGAGAGCCACGAAAGATATGAAAGAAAATTAAATGCACTTGGAAATAAATGTCTGAAAAAGATCTAGAACATAAAATAGGATGAATTCACAAAGAGTGAGGAGATTAGAGAAATGTCTGGACAAATACCTATACTGAGTGTCATTGGACTTTGGAGATATGTTGGACACATTGTGGGACGAAATGAGCAAAGAATTAAAAAAAAAACAAGCACTAAAATTGGAGGGGGGAAAACGGTTTGAGAAAAAAGAGGACATCAAATGTAAACATTAAGAACATTATTGCGAGAGGCTAATCATGGTGGGCTGAACTCCGGGTTAGAAATCGAGAAAGTTGACGGTAATATAGCCCAGTGTAGGAATCGAAAGAGAGCACTATATGACGTCCAACGGCACACAAAGGGTGATGATGATGATGATGATAACGATGATGATGATAATGATGATGATGATAATTATCAAGATGCTTTGACGTTTTCTGTGGCAAAATATCAAACATCTGTGAAGAGCAAGCCGTTATCTATACCGGTAATATCTTTCATTATTTGTTTGCTCAAAAATGTTGCAAACTGGCTTCAAGATGCAGTTACGTCAACGTCAATATACGTCAACAGCCTTGTTCTTAACGTGGTTCGTCAGAAGATTAGAAAGCATTTCTTAGACGCAGAGAAAAGCAATTACGTAACAAAACAAAGTCAGAGGAACAAAGCATAGCGAACTGAATGGGCGCGGGGATTTTTTTCGTAGAGGAGA